CCTTAATTATCTCAAAAAATTTTCAGATCTACTTAGATCCTATTGATTCTAACCCCTTCAATTATAAAAAAGATTTTCTTAATGAGTAAGGTAACAATGTTTAAAATCATCTGTTTTACCAAAGATCACAAAAAAACTTGGCTTAGGTAGTCATTAACACCGTGTTTATTTAATTTGAGTTATCCTCGTCGCCAATTTGTTGTGTCACGTTTATTGTATTTCGGGAGAGAGTTCCCGAATATAGTATCATCTCTGGAAACCAAAAATTAATGAATTTGAAATCTAAATTCTTTATTCGAAGTTCGCGTTATTTATGCAATTTTCTTACTTTATGGAGTCACCTAAAAACCTGCTCAGGCCTTAGGTCAGAGCCAAAGAGCAACACCAAAACTCCCCACGTTCTACTTGTATATGCAAGTGTACTTTAAAGGTCCAACTTCACTTAACAAAACTATTGTGAACATATCTTCTTCGTCATCTTCAAATATAAAAAAATGTTATCTTAATGAGGAAGCAAATCAGGCTTAAGTTCATCTGTGTCACTAAAATTCATGAAAAAACTTTACTTAAGTAGTCATTACCACCGTAGTTATTTTGTTTAAGTTATTCTCGTCGCCAAATTATTGTGTCTTGTTTGTTGTTAAACGAAACGCTTAAATGTTGTTGTTGACGGAACTAATTAACTTACACACGCAGCGTTTTGAGTTTAAAATAGTACTCAGTTTCGTGAATCGCCTTTATTTATAATCATGCCTATTATGGTATCCGACAGATGGTTGCGGAGGGAGTTTTACTCACTTTTGACAGATTTTGGTATTATCGAAAACGCTCGATAATGCAGTTTGCGAATGAAATAAAAAGGTGGAATCATTGAAAACGCATCCGATCCGTGTTTCGTACAAATTTCTCTATCTGGGATTCACGCGCCATTGTGCTGCGGATACTAAAAACGATAAGATGGATAGCAATAAAATGTAAGAAAAATCACAATTATTTATCCCTTTAATTTTGTAATATTGTAAAAAATAAACAAACTTATGTGTTTTAGGAAGCGTACAACGACCAGGGAGCAATTTGAATGTTTATTTTCCAAAATGAAGGTGCATCCGGACATAGCAAAAATTTTACTAAAAATGCGCCTGATTTGGTAGAAAGATTTTGGGAAAGTGTGCGAGAGGAGTTAAATTCGATTGGACCGAACTTTCCGATTATAATAAAGGTGTGCATTGCCTGCAGCTGGTTTAAGAATTTTAATGTGAGTACCGTCTACACACATGACAATTCCAGGAATTCTAGTTTTTTCTAAAAAATATCTTTTCGCTTCAAGTTTTTCATTGTCTGTCATTGCTAAAGTAATCCATCTGAGACATAAAGTGACTTCAAAGATGTTTAGTACATCAGAGAGTACTACAGAGACTGTGGATTGTGCCATGCCAATATTAAAATCTTGGCCAGTACCATTCTGATAGCCCCCTTCAGCTAAAAACCTTAAACAGGCTTCTAATTTAAGCTCGGTCGTTATGGAACATGATCTTCGAACTGGAGGCAATTTCTGCATTAATATTTCCAAAACGTACTTGAATGCTAATTTGTTAAGCCGGAACTGTTTTACAAATCAGTATAAGGAACTCACATGTTAAAATGAAATAAAGACTTCAATAAATTTACTCACACCTCATCCGGCAACTCGAATACATTCACAACATTATCCCTGACTTTCCTTCTAGTCCGTCGCATAGCACTCCTGGTGTTTTCATCGAAATAAATTAAAAAAACCTCAGAATCCATTTAATATTTGCAATAAATTTCACCAATGTTAACAAAAATCCTTCACACATATAAGCACAGCTGATTATGTTGGCAATACAGTTTACAAGAGGCAACGCAGTGTATCCGTCGGTATCAATAACAGCGTTTACTTAAAAAAGTGAATCGAGTACGGATCGGATTAGATCCGAGCGGTTTTATGATTTTCTCAATGGTTTGTTTTTGGCGTTTATTTAATTTTACACATTTAAATTGTTATTTTGTGTGGTACATTTGCTTGTAATTTGGAAGCTATGCATTATTTAAAGCGCACATAATCACTGTTCATTTTACACACGGGTTTTTAAATTGACCGGATTTTTTATGATTAACCGATCGATAACGCGGTTTTAGATTTTTTAATTTTTTTTTCCTCCAGAGAGGATACTTATTTCTATTTTTTGTCCGTAAAAATGTTATCCATCTTTTCTATAAATACTTTTTTACTTCGGCATTATTCGTCTTTTTTGGCGATGATCTTTTTATTTTCTCCTTATTTAGCCAAAGACCTTTGTTTTTACACACGCTTTTTCACCACTTTTAATATTCTTTGGATAAGGATACTTGGCGTTTTCTCCTTTCATACCCAAAGATATTAGTTGCCACTACCGGTTTTTTAAATTCGCGTGTGCCCCGTTGTTGGGTGCCACTTAAGCTTGCCTTTCCGAGGAAAGCGTTTTTAATAAATAAAAACGACTCTTTACTTACTTAATCAGCATCTCGCGGACAATTATCAGAAGTTTATTTCAATTGTCTCTCATTTATAAGCTAACATTTGTTTTCTTAGGAACTAATTTCACAATGACGCTTTGGCGCTGCATCAGCCAGTGGAGTGATGAAATGCCAATGATTGAGAAATGCGGTATTGTTTTCTTAATTTTTAATTGAATCAAAAGTTTACAGAAGGAACGGAAAAGACATTGTTGCACTTTATGCGTTCTGGGCTATTGGAATGCAGTTATTTTTACAGTGGCTACAATGCCGCTGTGTGGTCTATTGGTTTGATCTTCGATCGCAAAGAATTTAATTAAGAATGCAAAAATGCCGCTGTCCTCGGAAAGGAAAGCTTAAGTTGCATATGTACCTTATCTATGTTACACACATATGTATAACTTAATCCTAAATAAATAACAGCGCATATGACATATGTACATACATATGTGAATTTCATCACTTTGCAAGATAGTTCAGTATATTTACAGATGTCTAATCTAGTCTAGACATATATACAGGCATACACATATTATGCACTCTACTGTTTCTTGTCTAACTGATAGTTGAAAAAGTGCCATCCTTAGTAGTCAGATGTATTTATCGCAAAACTGTGTTCTCAAGAAAGAAAAACCATTCTATTTACTTGCCTGGCTTGCCTGGCTGCGTTGCTGTTCAAACTTAAAGTTTACGTATACTCAAAAAGAGACCTGTAACATGTAATATGAGTTAGTTATACCATGTTCTTTGAAAACCAGTTTCGGGATTGTGGGCTGAAGGCTTTTCATACCGGCTGTAAGCGTTTTCGTTGACATTTCTTACATCTTTTCTTTACAGTTTTGCTACAACAAAACAAAACTAAAATTCTACATATCCTTAAGCGTTGTAAGGTAAATATTGCAAGCCATCATTGTCAAATACAAATCGTGAATAATTTCAAATCCGCCTGATTTAGTTGGCACCAAGTTGGCTATGTCTTCTCTAACTTCTGATTCCACTTGCTGAATGTACTCTTTAGTTTCTTCTTTAAATTAAAACATAACCGGTCTGCTGACGTTTGTTGAAGAAGGATGTGGATTTACCCATACGATAGTATCGCTCCACGCATAAGACGCAGTGGTACATAACTTAACTTTAATAGCGTCACCACTGGGTGGGTTTTGTTAATAACAGCTCTGTGATGATGCACCATACATCCCCTATTTGCCAAACAGTTTTATAACTTAACCGTTGCCATTTATATCTGCCACTTTCACGATTTTTTCAGCTATTAAATCCAAAATTTCTTGTAGTTTTATCTGTGCTCCTGATTCTGTGATAGTCATATCTTCTTGTGGCGAATATCATTCTTTCTCCTTCGCAATTAACTTTTGATAAGAAGGAAAAGCTACCGTAATCCTTATCGCTTAAAAAGGTCCTTAATGTCAAATGCTGTCATTTCGATAAATTTAACGCCGTTACAAGAGCCAGAGTGTCAGCTTCAGAAACAGATCTTTTATTTAAAGATGTGAATAAAAAATCGTTGACATCTTTAACTTTTCCTGAGTCTCTTGATATAACACTGTAGTAACATTTTCAACTTTTGAAATACGTATAACCTCTAAACGCCGAGACACGTCAACTTGATTTGGTTGAGTAGAGTTCGCATGTGTACGCGGTTTGGCTGGATCAGGGCAGGATTTAAAGATATTTTAGATTGAAAAGAAATCTATTTAAGGTAGATTTTTTCAGCTTCATCTAATTCCGTTGACAGTTTGTTGTACATGTGTTTCCAATAATGATTGATTGAGAAATATATGTTTAGCTAAATTCTGGATTTCGTATAGGCAACATAGAAGGTGCATCCGACTCGCGAGTCAACTCGCCTTTCGACTACATACAGTTGAGTCATTCAGAGTTTATACCAGAGTCATGTCGTTGTAACTGACACATATCCCTGGTAGACAGCTACTAGCTAAATATCCCATGAATTCTCCAGGAGCGTTACCTTATGTATCGGGCAAAGTTTATATGAGTTTCTTAAGGCCCGTGTGCAGAAATTACCCTATAGTCTTCTATACGTGTGAGTTTTTGTCTTCTTTTAACACCCTAGTCAAATATATCTCCTTATGTATAGCTTCTCTCTTCTTGTCGTAGATCTTGTTGAGTATCTGTACTCTTTTAACATTCACGTATGTCATACTCAGCCAAATATAGCTTGTTCACTCTTTCAGTACTCCTACGAAGTGATTACCTCAATAACTACCGGTAGTCTTACCAAACAATTACCGCAAAACCTACCGGTACTGTTACCAAACGATTACCACAAAACCTACTGGTACTCTTACCAAGCGATTACCGCAAAACCTACTGGTAGTCGTACCAAGCGATTACCGCAAAACCTACCGGTAGTGTTACCACACGATTATCCTATTCAAATTAAATTTTTTTCTTATCTTTTCTAACTTTTCATACATTTAATTATTTTGTAAGTTTTATGTCCCTTACATTAATAAATTAATTCAAATTAATTTAAATTAATTCAATAATAAAAAATTAAACCTTTGCTTTCTTATGTTTAAATCGATTGTGGCTGAGTTCCACGGCTTTCTTCACCTCTTTTTCAAACTGCAGTCGACCTTTTGTCACAAACACGTCTAAAAATGATATAAAAGGGGTAAGATAAAAGTTACGTATATCTATATATGTTATATATTACCAAATAAAATCTGGTTGACTAAATTTAGGTTAGACAACGCTTTTTTTTCCTTTCTGCCATCCCAATTGTAAAAATACAACAGTTCGTCCGCAAATAATTTTCGCATAACTGGATCCACGTCTCCAGAAGCGCCCTTCAGTGTGTGTATGTGCGTTTTCTGTTTTAAAAAATACGTAATTAGTTTCGACCAGGTTTTGAATGTAAAAATTACCATTGCAGTGGCGTATTCATGCTCATTCAGCTTTTCCTCCACTTCCATTGCTGCATCTATTGTAAAAAGCGGAAGTACGCTAGCAACTTCCACTATTGCTTCATCAACGATGTCGCCGGTCATTTTTCCCACGGACTGCTGCACCTTCGCCAAAATTATTTTACACTCCCGCATCAGGCGATTTTGAGCCATTGTCTCGTTCCTGTTAGTCATCTGAAATGGAATAAAATATTAATTGCAAATAAATCCAATTTTTATTTATTTAACCAAGCTTGATACCATTTTGCTTTAAAAAAATTACCTCATGGCAAAAATCTTTTAAGAAGTCATCGATACAATCTGGCTTGGTCATTCCCGAAAAGCAACCAATTGTAAATGGCTTATTGGCGCAATCCACAATAGTACCTAGGATTGGCCAGAGCACACGATTAGAGCTTTTAAATAATTTTAGCCCGTCAATTCCAATATCAATAACAATTGTTTCCCTATCAACTAAGCTAGGAAACGAGTTTTTAGAAAAATGATGCTGAATCCCAAAGTACAAAAATTCACCATTCGGTAATCTCTGAATTGAAATGGGTTTTCTATTTGTACCCATTAAAGTTTTTGCACATTCCGGCAAACTATCAACACAAACTTTACGTAAAGTTTTAAGTAAGTCGTCCAAAACGACATGTGGAACGTTGTGTCTTATGGCCCAACTCTATACCTCTCTACATCTGTCCAAATGTTGACCGCTTGTTGCGAGTAAAACATTACCTAAGCTTTCGTCTAAATCTAGATTCACTTCCCCAACAATCTGCTGGTCATCCAGATCTATATCTTCACTATACACTTGATTATTTTGCACGAAACTATTTTGCACACCGGCGTGAAGCTCTTTTGTTTTCTTCACATTTTTTTCAAATTCCGTTTTTTCCCTGCTCATACAGTTTTGAAAAGTTCGCTTATTCATTATTCTTACCTTTATTCCTTCATTCAGCTATTTTCTTCTTATTTCATTAATTTCTTTTCGCGAGTTTGCGAATGCGCATCTCACATTAAACTTTATTTTCTCAGGATATATGTAAATAAAAGTTATGGACAAGGTTAGTCGAAAAAGTACTCACTAAAAAGAACTCGTTTAAAAGAACTCGTTGAAAATAATTCATTATGATGTACTCGGTATGTTTGATGTTATAATAGACAATTTTTACTTATTTCTGTTTTTGATCAATTATATTAATATCATATTAATATTTATATGAACTTCCTAAATAAATTTTAAAGAGCATAAAATGTTTTTGAATGACATCGACGCAATTTTTTCCGAACCGAGTTAAAATATCAATTACTTTTGTCAGTAAGTTTTGTGGCACTAACAACATCTTACACAAGCAGTTGTCTCTTTCTCTCCTTTCCGAAAAATTTGTTACAAAATGTATGCCATTTACTATGAGTGGGAAGAACTGAATATATATTTTTAAATTTTTGCTATTTAACAAGAAGAAGAAGAGCGAAAATATTTTGCATATGTATTAGTTTTTTCGAAAAATTGTACATATGTATTGGAGAATCGGGTAAGGCTGTCTACCAGGGATTTGTTTTTACTAACACATCCAAAGTACATTCTTTCTACGTTCCATTGTATTCGACGTTTTGTTACTCGACTCCGCGAATACTTTTATTGGTCGCCCTTTTGTACATCGTCGGTGATACTGCATAACGTTCTATGTCACTTATTACCTCTGGTGCTAAATTGATCTGTTATCTGTATCTGATCGCTTCTGGCAACCGTTCGCCTTCCATCAGCCAAAGGTAGACAGTTTTGTCATTCGTTTATTAGGGTGTAACGATTTACAGATGCAGTCCGATGCACGTAAGAGACCATCTAGAGTGTCTAGGGTACTAATACACAAAGACCGTTCTGCAGCATCGCCGACGATATGTAGATACTTGCCCCGCAGGTAAATAAACTTCTACATTTAACCAGTCCTGTTTTTTTTTTCTAAAAGCCGGCTTTCTGTACTGTTGCATGCCACCTATTTTTATTTATATTACATAGTTTTAGATCCCTTACATTTGGCATTGTAGACGATATTTCTTCGAAATCGCTGTCATTGCTCACTCCTCTCTTTAAAAGAATGCTTATACATTTGTGCAGTCAATGTTTGAGCATTCTATTTCAATTGAAATTTATGACATAACTACAAATTACTTGAGTTCGTTTACCTTACATGAAAGTACTTACGTAATTACTAAGTTTATTTTATTTATAGTTATATATTTTCCATTCTGGTGTGGCGGTCCTAATAGTGTTTAATGTTATTATTAACCTTCTTTATTTAGGCAGAGAAGGAAGGTTCTGGCTGTTCAGTAGGCGGCCGTGAGGCTGCCGAAAACTTTAGCTAGGCAACTTTGCAGTTGCAGTTGTAATTTGGTTTCACTGAAACGAATTTGAATTCGAAGTCGAACTTTTATGAGGAAATCTATATATTCCGCATAAGCTTTTACCAAAACTTGTGAAAAAACTTGTCTTAGGTAGTCATTATCACCGTATTCCTTTTATCGTACTTTTCTCGTCGCCGCTGTTGTATTTGTTGCAAATTGAAACACTGTAAAATAAAAGGACACTGACGCTCCGATTGCACGGAGCCTTTATTTTTAGAAAACTTAAAACTATTCTTATCTCTAACTAGGCAAACGCACTTTGTCCAGTACATGTATATACAGATACATATATATATTTATGTACATACTTCTAATACACACTAATGTATGTGGGATTTCTCTGTGCTATGGAAATAAAAAACGATTGGTTAGCCTTTAAACATTTAATCGAATAAGTTCTCTTCACATTTACACAATAGCCTTACTTAACTAAAAGTTCACAATCAATTTATTGCGCGGTGGTGGGTTTTTGCCCTCAACGTCCGTCTTCTTTCGTGGTTAATGCCAATCTGTTTTTAAAATCCTATTCGTCGTTCGTTGTCGTTTTCCGTGTTGCTGTGTCGCCTCGTTAGGGTTGAATTTTTGTGTCTGATCAGCGTTGTGTTAAGTAGGTCCTG